AGTTTTGATGCTTATTTCATTGTAATTTTAGAAACATTATAACATTGTTACTGAAAAGATATCATTTAGTTTAAGGCACCTATCTATAACTGGTAATGTGTTATTTGACCACAGGCACTTATCTATAACTGGTAATGTGTTATTTGACCACAGGCACTTATCTATAACTGGTAATGTGCTATTTGACCACAGGCACTTCTCTATAACTGGTAATGTGCTAACACATTACCAGTTATAGATAACTGCCTCTATGTCAAATAACACATTACCAATTATAGAAAACTGCCTGTGGTCAAATATTTGACCACAGCAGTTATCTATAACTGGTAATGTGTTATTTGACCACAGGCACTTATCTATAACTGGTAATGTGCTATTTGACCACAGGCACTTATCTATAACTGGTAATGTGTTATTTGACCACAGGCACTTATCTATAACTGGTAATGTGTTATTTGACCACAGGCAGTTATCTATAACTGGTAATGTGTTATTTGACATAGAGGCACTTATCTATAACTGGTAATGTGTTATTTGACCACAGGTACTTATCTATAACTGGTAATGTGTTATTTGACCACAGGCAGTTATCTATAACTGGTAATGTGTTTGACATAAATGTAAAAAATACTTCAGTTGTAATATCAGAGTAGAAAATAGTTTTGAAGTCGTATTATCAGATGAAAGAATTTTCACGAAACATGACCTCTTTCCAGACTTAATGTGCAAAAAAAAAAAATGTTATGTCTGTTCGATGACTTTTTCAAGCTGTTGTTGTGGTAGTATGAGATGTTTAAAAATACCTTGTTTGTAGCAACAACTAGTGGGTTAACTCTTTAGTTCAGTCGATAGAGCAGGAGGTGTTAGCAAGTCTCGCGATAAAAATAAACGACACAGCTTTTCGAAACGAGCAGCACTGACTTTCAAAACTGATTTTTTATTTTTATGGTTTACCATCAAAATGGCGACTTGCGTGGCTTGGTTGTAATATAGGATGTGTCAAATGGGCGTACCAGAAACTTTACGGCTGTCAGTGGGGATAGGATGCTTCTAAAATTCATTGACCCAGTCAATCACCGAAAACACTTCTACAAACATTTTACTGTGTGTTAAAGTCAGTTATTACAAAAAGTAAATAAACGACTTCAGAATAAAACGATCTCAAAAAACCGCAACTATCAAAAAATTAAAACGAATTTTTTGAAAAACAAGCCTAATTCCTCTTATTATAAGCAGACTTGGCAACAACTGTTGAGGACTTGCCTGGCATGCAGAAATTCTCGGGTTCTATCGCGAGACCGTTGGGATGGGGTAGGGGTTACCACAGAGCAACTGGCGTCAAATTAATGGTTGTCCTCTGACCTAGAGATAAGGCTCAAGGACTGACACTGTTTTTGAAAAGGGAAGAATGTGGTGTAGTTTCAGTTGTCAAAAACTGCCTTACCAGGAAGTTAACCTTTTAGGTCAGTTGGTTGAACAATTGACTGACATTCAAGAAGTTCCAGTTCAATTCTGCTAGCAGGAAATGCAGAGATGGAATAACTACACTGTTGCCAAATACCAGGTTAGAAAAGAAATTTATGGAAAGCGTGTTGGAGAGTAAAGACGATTGAATGTTTGTTTAAGGTAAATTTATAAACTTAATTTCTTCCAAATATACTTATTAACTTCGAGTTACTTGGAGAATACAAAAGTCACTTGGATCAGATTACTTGGATTGTACAATTTTATACTAAATAAGGCGTATGTTTGTTTACCCCGTTGCTTAAGGGTCGAGCAGATAGTAAATAGTAGTCCTATACATTAATGTCGAACAGACATGTTTGGTGATAAATTAGGGGGTTTATTCATTAGCTCCACATTGTCTCAGCGGTAAGTTTGAAGGTTTATAACGCTACAAACCGAGTTCCGATTCCCGTTGTGGGCACCACATATAGCCTGTCGTGTAGCATTGTGCCTAACGATAAACTAACTTCATCTTCTTTATATTAAAAGTGCTATACCCGTTTGTTTACATTCAGATTTTAGTTTGATAAATGATACTTAATAATAAGTTAATACAAAACTAAATAACATAAAAATAGCTGGTTGGAGGTTCAGAATTAGGGATAGCACCACGTTACCTGAACTGAATTTGAAATTCCCAGAATCACTATGGAGCAAAAACTCATTTTTCTGAACTTGAAGTATTAAAAAAACGGATTGGACACTATGTATCGCTCAGTGAAATATTCAGTATTCTCACAAACACAATTCGAGTTTTGAAAGTGAATCTGAGCGCATTTACCAGAGTGTTTCAAAAGCACTGTATATTTCAACCTCAAATATATTCTGTTATTCTCCTTATCATCCTGTCCTAGACTGAGAAAACATGGCATTATATAAGAAAAACATCAGGGTGCGGGTACCACCCACGTGATTGAGGTTAACTATCAAACAAAAGAGCATCACCTAACGTACTAATAGAAAAAGGTCACTATCGCTATCTGTATCGTGTCGTGCTAATCTGATCATTACAGAGAAGAGTCAGTGCCAAAAAACAAAACTATAGTGTGTAACAATAACAAATGTCATATACCCTTTCCACATGAAAACAACGTTTTCAATTTAATCTTAGCAAATTAAACACAAATCTTGAAAGTTTATAAAACCCATTGAAACTGTGATATTTAAACAATATTTTAGTCATAGACAATTCACTGAGGTGTGTCGAAATGCTGTTAATGTAAAATAGCCACACTATTGTTAGAGTTACTTGCCTGAAACGTTGGTTTTGTCAGTGAGCTTTATCGGTTATTTATTTTGGCCATTAGAAATTTCATACATCTGTATCAGGATCTTCAGAGCTGCTTTTAAATATAATTAATACTTTCAAGGGTGATACCTTGGTGATACAGATATAATATTCAATAGGAAGTACCCATTGTGTTTGTTTGTTTGAAGTTAAGCACAAAGCTACCCAATGGGCTATCTGTTATCTGCCCCTAACGGGTATCGAAACCTGGTTTCTAGCATTATAAATCCTCAGACATGCCACTGGGGGGTATATATATATATTGTTGTATCGTTTTCATTTAAATTATTTGCTTAAAATAATCAACATCCAGTTCACGTAACGATAATAAATCGCCTTATATCCTCTATTAACGTTTCTACAAACTTGAACAATTGCACACTGTCGTAAAATGCTGTAGGCCTACGTTATAAATTACGTTAACTACAACACACTGACTAGTTTACTCTTTATTTTGAAAACAAACTACTATCTTGTTAAAATAACTCATTCTGTAACCTAATGACGCTTCATGGAACGTCGTATTTGTAATCTACACTTTTCTAGATATTCTTAGGACTTGCATGTAATCTTCTAGCTAATATCTAACTTAAATAAACTACATTATAAATATAGATTAAAAAAATATCAGCGGTATGTAAAAAGTGGAAAAAGGATTTTAGATATATAAATGTTATTACATATATATGTGAGTTTGCCTATATTCACTAAAAGGGGTTTCTTGGAATTTAATAAAAAGTATTATTATTGATAGTAATGTGATATAATCACTAAGAAATCTCGACATGAATATTCCTGTAAAAGAAACTTCACGGTACCTTTCTACTGGAGGACTTTGAAACACACGGTATTACTTTTTTAAACAAATTGGGTAATTATAAATATTTTGCTGAAAAAACGTTATGCATTATTTCATCTTGGTTTGAAAGAAACTTAATTTAAAGATGTTGACTTTATCCAAAGTGTTGTCAATCTTTTATATACCTCTTCTTTTTTTTTGTATACCAAAACAAAAGAGAATCCTCAATAGCCGCGGCACTTTAAATTATTTTAGGTATAGAGTAAATTAATCTAGGAGACCTTTATTTTCCTTTTTATTAGCTATACTTTTGTGCGCCAGCAATACCAAGCGTGGAGCACGCTGATTCGATTTTATTACTTATCAGGATCTCTACATAGCCTACCCTCAAATTGAAATTCTTTTAAGCACGATTAGAGTAAATTAATCTATGAGACCTTGGGTGTGGTCAAATACATCAATCGAGAGGATTTGTCCTTCTGAGTCTAAAACTATAATTCGTTCTCAAATCGGTCAAGAGATTGACAGAGCTATAAGCTAAACGTTTGTACTTGAAAAACAACAACTCAGAACCATTCTATGAGCTGCTCAGCCGCAGCCAAAAGTTGTTAAGAAATTAAATTTTGTAAATTGTTGTATTTTTTACTCAGTGTGAAGCAGGAAAGCATAGAACTGTAATGTTTAAATAGATTAATATATAATTGTTGTTTAACAAATACATTTCTAAGGAATTAAACTTGCCAATATTTCTTGCTTTTGTATTTTTATTTATAGCATGTGTTGTACACTTGTATCCAAAGCGTCGTAAGTCCGCAGACATATCGCTGCGCCACACGGGAATTAGAAGTATAATAATTATGAAACCAGAGTTATGGTTTATTAATATAGCTTTTTATATTTTCATCTTTTATATAAATTTTACTCCTTGTGATTTGTACTTTTTTTTTTGGGGGATGTAGGGCTATTAGAATTAAATGGCCAGAGTAATAGAAAATATTTTTTATTTTACAAAATTTCGACACATCATAATCAATATCAAATTTAAGCGTTCATTTCCCTTTTAATGTTTAGTGAATATTTTAGGGAAATTTTAAGTTGTGTGTTTTCATTACTATGGCATATTTTAATCTTTGTATTTCATATGAAAGAAATCATTATAAAATCAATTCTTATTAATTTATTTACGGGGAAAAATAACAAAAACTAACTCGTGAAACGACTAAGGACTAGCTCTTGGTCGATTGTTACAATTCCATGCAGCAAACATCGACATTTTTACATTAGAATTAGATACAAATTAGAACTTGGAAACTCAACACTACATACTACTCTCATTTTCTTATTAACTGAAATTACAAGAAAGAACCACGAAAATGGCCACTTTAAACTTCCAGTGACTTCACTTGAATGACTCGACGCTCAATCCAATCAGTCAGAGATCAGTGGATTACTCAGTCTCGGGTGAGTTGTTTGGAAACTGCTGTTCTAATGAGCAGCCTTGAGGTTACACGCAATTTGAGACATAAATAGTTTAGAAATACGTGTCTAACAAGCCGAGATGATATCGATGTTTTTAAGTTTTAATATATTGAGAAAAATTAAACCAAAACATTGCTGGAGAATTAAAAAAACAAATGTACTATAAGGTACAATTTTATAATATGAATAGGCTGTGAAAAGTGTATCACGTGAGCTTGTTTTTCGTCGTGTTGATGTATACTGGTATATCATCAAACAAATTCGAGCCTCATTAGAATAGAAGTGAAAATTATTATAACTTAGATTTTGGTAATTATTTTGCCAATAAGTTTTAGGGTGTATATTGAGACTGCGAACTGTGAGCTTTTTGTTTTTATTTTTTTGTATATGAATATTTATTTACTTTCTTTTACCTGTAAATTTCCCTAATTCATTGCACGCGTTTGTAATATATAGCATATATACCATTATATGTAGTTATGATTTAACTTGCGACTTTTTTTTTAATTTGATTATCATTTCATTTTTCCTTATCGAAGACTTAAATAATAAAAGGAACATTTTGAGAAAAGGTTAGGACAGTATTTTCTTTGTTGTCTATTGTATATGTATTATTATTTTCTTTTTTAAATGATTTTTGAATAAAAAAAGAAGAAGAAAACTCCATTATTAACTTGCGTACATTATTTCGTTTATTTGTCTAGAAAAATTCAGTTCTTAACTCGGTGACAAGCCTTCCATTTTGAGTATAGTTATACTCAGCGTCCCAAAAGTCGTTGTCATAGGCTAAATGTCCGTACAGTTTTATAGAATACACTGAAACCTCAAAATTGATACATAATCGAAAATGTTTAGTATAGTGCGTTTTGGTATAGTAGGAGTCATCTAAGACAGTTCATGATGTTAGAAAAACACGTAGGTTCAAGAAGTCTTGATAGAAATGAATAAAAATCCTATAACCCGAGCGCTTTCGAAAGGTGGACCTTCCTTCTTCCCAGTTTGCTTGGGTTTATAGGGTTTTTATTCGTAGCTAAGACAGGGTGGTTGGCCTCTGGAATGGGCTGCCTTCAGATGTGTTGGAAGTGTTGCGTCAGCGAGTCACATGACTAGTGTGACGTCAAGTTTCTAGAACTATCCCGTATCTTGGCGAATGCTCTAGCATTTGCTAGATATAGGGTAGTTTGGTATATAAAAGAGGGTGACAACGTGACGCGAGAACAATGTAATGTGTGTGTGAAGACAGTGAGTAATTGAACTGCAGTCACAGGGTATTGTTGAAGTTAACGTTCGGTCGTTCGTGATACTGTTTGGTTTAG